TTGACCTGGAGAGAGGCAAAGCTAGCCTTATTTTATTTATTGTTATTCTGTTTTGTACTGATGAAATCTTTTTATAAAATTTTGCTTGCAGTTTTCATTATTATGCTTTGTTTAATTAATGAATTTTCCCACTTTTCTCATGGTAGCTAGGCCTTCTGTATATCCTAGACTCCTTAGGCCTATATGTGCATAATCAAAAGGGGGTCAGAGTTTTAATTGTGATGACTAAAAATGAAAATTTTGAGTTTGATTTTGTAAATTTCATCATTTTATTTGCTATCGAAGTTGGTAAGAAGTTGAGACAGCCATCTTGTCGTAAGAATCTAAACTAAAAATTAATATCACCAACTATTCATGGTATTGGTATTTGTTTTTATTGCAAATTCCTGCCTGCCCATATATATGCATACAACATCACACAATACAATTTGTGGTAATGTAACTAACTGAGCTGTATACGTTGTACTGTGTTCCCACACATAGCCATTTGCATTCAGTTGAACTCAATACAAAATTATGTGGATAAAGCAGCATGGAGGTGCAGATTGTCCACTATAGAAAGTTTAGTGACTATAACATTATTAGCCAATAACAAAAGCAAACTTATTTTAATGTTTTCAGCTCCTTTTGGTGGATTGTACCAACATTTCTCTTTTACAAAGTACAGACTTTTTTAAACAGAAAAATGGACTGCTACATTTCCTACATTCTTATTACAACAATCCAATTTTCTTCTCTTACTCTACAATTTGGGGTTCATCCCCACAGTACCCACATCGTCTATAGTTATTTATAGCTAGATGTCGAGATTTCCAGCTTAGAGCCCTTACTGTTTGGACTATTCTTGGCTCCTTATGTTTTTTGTCAGGTGGTAAGAACTTTTGCCCAATATCTTCACTTCATGGGTCTTTGCACCCATTATTATATTGATGACTGACTCCTTCTCTATTCTTCCTGTTTACAGTCCAGAGACCACACTCATCTGCTCCTACAAGAAGCAACATGGGGGGGATTCCTGATAAAGATAGAGAAGTCCGTTCTTCCCCCACCCCCCGATATGGAGCAAGCAGTCCACGAGGATCTTACCTCACATTTTCTTGCAGCTCGGGAGGTGATATCCATTTTGGGGATGTGGGCTTCCTTGAAAACTCTCATCCCCATGGGTCAAACTCATATGCATTTCTTTCAGTGGACACTTCTCAAATAGTGGAACTTCTACTCGCCCTTGGACCACCCTTTTATGCTTTCTTCCCCAATCAGGGCCGGTTTAGCTTGGTGGCTAGACAGGGACCAGACCACAGTGTGGGTTCTGCTTCCTCCACCTCATCCAAATTTACATCTGTTAATCGATACATCTTTAGAGGGTTGGGGTGCTTATCTCAACTCTCAGGAAATTTCTGGTCTCTAGCTGGTCAAGGAGTCTTCTCTCCATATCAACATTCTCAAACTTATGAAGGTTTGTCAAGCTTTGTCCCACTTCCTTCTTCTCGTGTGGGGAGGGTGGTTATGGTACACTCCAACAACTCCACAATGGTCACTTATATCACCAAGCAAGGGAGTACCAAATCCAGGTGTATGTGCTTTCAAACCCTGAGTATCCTTTTCTGGACCCACAGTCACCACATGGTGGTCTTAGCTTGCCATGTTCCAGGTGCTCTGAATCTAGTTGTGGATCTTTTATCTTGACCCATCAAGATTATCTCCCTCGATCCACATGTCTTTTGGTGGGCATGTTCCCATCTGGCAACACCTCATATAGATGCTTTCACCAACTGCTGGAACACAATATTTCCTTCCTTTTAGTCTCCCGTTCCACACCCACTAGCTCTGGGAGTGGATACATTCAGTCAAGATTGGAGGAGTCATCACATCTATGCTTATCCTCCTATTCGATTCCTCTCCAGAGTTCTATCCTTAATCCAAACCACTCCATGTCTAGTCCTACTTGTGGCTCCATATTGGCTGGTGCAACCATGGTTTCCTATGCTCAGACCTTTACTCGTACAACCTCCCAGACATTGTTCTTCCAGATGTCACCACCTTTTCGAACACTTTCCATTTCTCAAAGTTTCAAAAGATTTTTTTTTCCCCTGTCATTTCCCTCCTTTTCCACTCCTTTTGAGTCATGCATCCTTCATTTCCTGATTAGAATCTCAGTGTGGTCCTTTATGCCCTTTCCCATTCTCTCTTTGAATCTTTGTATACATGTTCCATGTACCATCTCTCCTTCAAGACTTTATTCTTTCTCTTCCTTGCTTGCAGATGTCATTGATCAGATACTGATAACGTTAACTGCATCCTATACCATTCCTCTTGTGTCATCCTATATCCCAACCAGCTCTTCCTCCATAAGACCTATGGTGCCCACGAATGTGGTTTGGCTTTCACACCCATTTCCTTACCTTCCATCTCCCAACTGTACTTCCATTCCATTTCTGATCAGTTACTTTGTCTGGTTTGCTCCTTATGGTGTTATGTGACATGTACTGCATCCTTTTGGGGTTCACATTCCTGATTTTTTACTCACTGGAACTCTCCATTTCTCAGGATAAATCCTGTCATGCTAACTGGTTGGGTTCATCAACATATTAGGCTGGCATATTCAGGCTTATCCATAGAAGGTCAGAGTCTTCACAACAATTCTTCTCTTAATTAGGGTAAGTATTATCACTTCCTTTCATTTATGTTTTTATTTTTAGCAACTCTCGTTGTTACCACTGATAATGGGATCCTGCTCTGTGGCAGTGTGTTGCCTGGTGAGGTATACTTTGCCTCAAACCTGCACTTTTACTGATTGTACTATAATGGTCACTGTAGAGATGGAGTGTTCTGCAAGATCACTGGTGGCATATCCAGTGGTATATATATATATTTATAGATATTAGTACATTTCACTCATCAGTGGACAGTCACTCATGGGCTTCATCAGTAAAGCAGAAGGGAATTTCTGTCCATTCCTGCTAACCCTTTAATTGAATAAATTGAGTTTGGTCTGCTTTTCGAAATAGGGAATTGCAGACACACATTGTACTTTCTCTGGTGTGATGTTCCTCCAGACTCCCCACCTTATTTAGTTCCCCTGTTTTTTCTTCCAATGGAGCATGGGAGTCCTTACCACTTCCCAGTCACTGGTGGACCATGGAGGCTTCTTTCTGAGTGAGTTTAGAAATTTAATTTACCTTACATACTCATGATTATACACTCAGTAAGAAGAGGGCAAAGCTGGTTTCTCTATTGGATGTTTTTCCAGGTGGACAGCTGTTGATTTGAATAGGTCCAGCTTACGTGGAATCCTCCTTTTAACACTGGGTTTGAGATGACACCATCCTGTTCCTACAGTTGTGTGCAGTAGAGGCCCCTCTTCTTGTTAATTCTGGTTGCAGTAGGTTCTTTCCCTGCTCCTATTGTTGAGGGAATGTTCCTTGTCATCATTGTAATTCTAGATGCAGGGTGTCTCTTCCCTGCATTTACAGTTGAGTGAATTATGATTTCTGCTCATAATACCGGTTACAGATATTACCCTGTTCTTATGTCTGAGTTGAGGCAATAATATAACTCCATAATGCTGGGTTTGTTTTATTGTACTTTTTGCTCCTGCAGTGGTTTTGAGACTTCGTCCAGTTTTGGCTGAAAGCTAACTTCCTCTTCATAATTCCGAATGTATGACTTATGACCCTCTGTTTACTTACGGTTGGGGTTGATGAGTATACATAACATGGTCCACGTGCCCTAAACACTATGTTACAGTATATTTGTTTTTTTATCTGTTTTGATCCTCAACTTCCTAATGCTGAGACAAATTATGGAACCTTGTCTGTATGTACATAGCTAATTCGGTTATATTTTACTATTTTACTATGCACCTCTCAGGACAAATTGCACTTGTACACCTCCTTTTTTCCACCTGTATCAGATTCATTTCCTACTTCAAGGGTAGAGAGCGTACCTATTCAAGAAGTAGTGTGGTACACTCTTTCATTCTGGGCATTTGCTTTCCACTTGGTTTCATTGTTGTGCACCTAAACTAGCTACTTCACCTTTTCAGTATGGGATTCTATCTTTGTGTAAGATGTGGTAAGACCAACTTGGTAGTTATCAACTTTCTTACACTGAAAATGCATTTCTGATAGGTACTTCCCACCCTTCCTCCCCAGTGCCAGTGTTCTTTTGGAGCCTGCCAATTCTTGAAAGTGAGGACTGGGTGGGAATAGCAGAGTTCTATTCCTAATCCAAATCACTACATGTGTTGTCCTACTTGTGACTCTGTTTGCCTTTCACTGATAATGGGAACCCACTCTGTGGTGGGTGTTGCCTGGTGAGGTATGCTTTGCTTCAAACCTGCACTTTTACTGATTGCACTACAATGCTCACTGTAGAGATGGGGTGTTCTACATGATCACTGGTGGCATACCCAGTAGTGTGTATGTATATATATATTTCTAGATATCAGTACATTTCACTCAATAGCAGATAGTATGTTGGTGGGGCATATAGACTGGTGCACTGAGCATGAAATGTTTTTAGTAATGCTTAGAGGGCAGAAAGAAGTTCGAAATTGCTTTGTTTAAGAGGACGAAAGTACCTTTTGGAATGCATTTTTTGTTTAAGAAAAATTTTTAATTTCTAAATTTTAAGGTGTGTATAAGCTATCACTGATCAAAAGACAGTTGTTAAACTGGTAATAAATGTGTCATTGCATCACATTAAGATTGATTATAATCATGAAAAATGTCCTATGTCTTGCATTTTATTTTACCTGTAACTTCATAAACACAATAAACCTATTATTGCTAGTGTCCAAATAATTTGAGAGTTTTGGTTTTTGTATAATATTTTTTGAGTATCATGCTTTCTGTACTTTTTTGTGAAGAATTTATTATTTTTGTCTTTCTGTTTCTGTGTAAAAAATTAGTGAGCTACTCAAATACAGCAGATTTAGTACAAAAATTTTTACTTAAAATACTGTATTAAAGTGACAAAACAGTTTCATTTGTGTACAGGCTGACCCGTTTGAGTGTTTTCCAAATGATGCTGGAACGACAGGTATGTTTGATTATAGAATAAAGATCTAGTAAAAATAAATGTCAGTCTAATAATAATACTTATAAGCTGTACAGCTATTATATATATATATTTATATATATGTGTGTGTGTGTGTATTAACTTGATTCTTATCAGTTCTTAAAAACATTTTTATGCAAAACAAAACACTAACTAACTCTCTCAGGAGAATTGTTTAACGTGGATAACCATAAACAACAAAAAATATTCATTCTACATTAATTATATAGTGTAACAAAAAGTTACCTGGTCTTTCTTGGTCTTGAAAATTTTCTTCTTTAAACTTGCAGTATGCAGAATATAAATCTAAACCCAAACTGATTACATGTAAAAAATAAGTAGAATACTGATTGAAAAAATGAAAATCTGGATTACCTACATTTGATATTCAGAGTTTGTTATATATATATTATTTCCTAAGAGCCAGTAAAAGTACATTTTTGTTTATCAGCTGTGATATTTTACTACTTAATAAATTATATAGAGATTGAGTACATTATTTAAAATGATTCTAGAGCCTCGGCACATCATGACAATCCATGTCATTATGTCTGGTCTTGCTCTTTCTTGCAACCATGCATCTTGACAATAATATTGAAATAGTTTCTACTGAAAAAAGGTTGTAGCCATATCCAAAGAACACCTCCCTTCCTTGCTGGCTTTCCATAATCTATTTAATGTGTGAGGAAGATGATTTTCCAGCTCAAATCTCTCAGAAATCTATAGGTGCTGGGTCTGGTAACTTGACAGGTTTGTATTCATATGAAATAGCATGAATACCTGTCTTGTTCTCCAGCTGCTTGACGTATGCAACAGTTGAATGGATATGTCATAGAAGCAACTTGTGTAAAAGTGAATTGTGTCACTTTACCAGACAGAGATCCTTCTTCATTATGTTACATGCTGTTGCCTGGGGCACATGGACTGCTTTATATGCTGACTTTTGTACTTATAGATTATCACCTGTTACAAGATGCTGCAGTTTGCTTGCCATGGATGGAACAAGATATTGTTTCATTTCTCTTTCTGTGTGGCTTTGGTGTTCCAAGTTGAACCATACTCCTATTATTTACAATGCCTTTAAGTAAAAGGGATATCCTCTTATTGGCTTTTCTAAATCCCATATCTGAACACATCTTTATGATATGAATGTATTAATATCTTGCTTGAAAAGGATTGTTACACATCTTTCCAAAAAATGATCAGTGTTTAGTGGCATCACACTATGTATGAAATGCCAACAATGTCAAAATGTAGTTCTGATACATTCTTTCCACCACAACTTTATTATCAGTTTTGATTTTCATGTGACTTATTTATTGACTTATTCAAAATCATTTTGATGTACTATGTAGTTCATCTACAATGAAAAATTTAATAGTGCCTTTAGCTTGAAAAAAAAAAAAAGGATTCCTATGTAGTTTGTTTATTTGATCATTTTTAACCTCAGTTCAGGCTTAGTATCCCAGTAAGAAAGAGTTTGTTAAATATGGTTCTAAAGAAATGTACTAAATTTGTAATATTTTCACAGTCTATGAAACATAAAAAAACAGTCAGTTACAGAACTAGCATATCATATAAGAAGTATGTTTGAAAGTTGTTGTATGTTTCAGTTTGTATTGTAACAACATGTTTTTTTATTTTCCAACAGTGTTTGAACAAACATTTTTAAATCCTCTTGAATAGTTACAACAATATATAATAATACTGGCTTGAAAAGGCTAATTAATGCTAACTGAAATTTATCTACAGGCACATTTATAGTTGAATTTCAAACTTAATCTGAAATTGGTATACTAAATATTTTAAAAGTCCTGCTAAATATTTCATAATACACTTTGTTGTCAGATTTCTCTAGCATTATTTTGTTGGAATCTTATATGAGCAATTAAACTTTGGGAGGTAATAGCATTGTAACTAATTTGTAATTATTCATTTAATTTGTTGTACTTGTATTATAATGAAAGATTTGTCAAATGCATGAACATTGAAAAAATACACTTTGTGGAAATATTTTGACTTTTCTGTTACCTTCTTTTTTTGAACTATAAATCTTTTTTATGTTTCACATTTTTAATGTTATCTTGGCATAGACATCACAGATTTGTTTGACCCATTTGGCCTGAGCAATACAAGTTCTTCTGTAACTGCAGAAGACAAGGTAAGAATGTGTATGATTTGTAACTGCAGAAGACAATGTAAAAAATGTGTATGATTGTGTTCATTAGTTTTCCTCTGTATGTGAGATTTTAAAGGTTCTTGTGTGTATATTTTAGAACATATCTTTCTCTTTACACTAGTTCCTGAAAAATAATTTACTAGTGTAACTATAAAGTTCATGCTTGGTCAATTTTTAGTTTTTTCAAACGTGTGGTATTTATGTTTGTATTCTCAGTACAACATAAAAACAGTTGTATTTTCTGTTCTTCCTGTAGAAATTTCATTTACAATTTATCTTGGCTAACAAATCTCTCAATTCAAATTTCAATCCTAGAACAAGACTGCACAAAAAAATAAAAGTATGACAAGTACCTACCCAAATATTGGCAGAACACCACATGAATTAGTAGTTTAAATGTTACATGTAAAGTACAGTAGCTATGTTACATACATATAAAGATTCAGCACACAAACAGTATGATTTCATTACTTCATTTGGAGAAATAATAGTTTTCACTGTTATTAAATCAAATCAAATACTTCTGGAAATTTGATAGAATCTAAACCATGCCTTGAGTAGTGAATACCATTGAATTTAATAAACTTAACTAGAAACATACATGAATGTTATTTATTTATTTATTTATTTACAAGTGGGTTGTAAAAAGACAGAAATTTATGATATGATCAGTCCAAATTTGAGAGCTAAGTATTTTTTATTCAAATTTCTAGATATTTTAAAATATTTATATAGATTGTAAGAGGACAGAAATTTATGATATGATCAGTTTAATGTGTGTTTCTTTTTCGGATAAAAAACGATAATATGATAAGTATTTTGATTCATAATTCGTGATACACAATGTATTCCATTTCAGATATTGTGAAAAGTTTTATTTCAGAAAGTACTTGTTTTTTAAGCAGTTTCATGAAGAGTGTGACCCATTTGGAACAGATCCATTCAGTGCTTTCTCTGGACCAGAGAGTCCTATTCCTGCTCTTCCTCCTAGAAAATCTAAGGCACCACCTCCCCGACCAGTAGCACCCAAACATGGGGTTAATGCTGCAGTTACTTCAACTGCACAAGAAAACATTCATAATGAATTTGATGACAACTTGTTTGATTTGACAGTGACATCCCAAAGTGGAGACCTCAAAGGAGATGTTTCTGACCCATTTGATTCATTGTTTAGTGTTGATGAAAAGCCTTCTGTTGGTACCATTAAGTCGGTAGTGGATCCATTTGACCCATTTGGAATTGGATGTGACCCATTCTCAAACTCCACTGATGCTCAAGAGGAATTTGCTAATTTTGCTGACTTTGATAAGGTAAATCATTTAAAGGAAATTTTCCCTAGTTAAGTGGGGAATGGGCATGTACAAATGTTTTGTTGTTATAGAAACAATTGTGTAATAACAGCATGATATCAAAGCAACAAAACAAACAGCATGTTGTGATAGAAATATAAATTTTATGTTGGAATATGTGGCTGTAGAAATAAATAAATACATATAGAAGTGTATGAATATGTACAGTGTATAGATGCCATGTGGAATTCTTAAGTTCTTAATGTAAAATGTATCTTTTTAAAATGTTTATCATCTTAACATAACATTTAGTCATTACCTTTAAGCTTAATCTTCTTGATTCAGTCAAATTCAAAACCGTCTGCAAGCATGTTTTAAAAACCATATTAGTAAGTTATTAGAAGATGGAAGATACTTTAACCCATTCACTGCATCTGGGACATATATTTTCCAGTGCTCCCACCCCCCTTACACAGTGACTGGGACAAATGTTTCCCATTATCAATGCTGTTTCCATGTTCATCATCTTGACTATCATCACTAGATGGAGAGCTAGCATCCTCTTGTCTCAATGACTTCATAATCATGCATTTGAACACCACTTGACTCATTTTCACTACCTATTAAGCTATCTGAGTCAAGCGCATCAAGCATATTTACATAGTAATTAGAGTTACTACTCGCCGCTATAGCAGGCATGGTCGGCATGCAGTTGTCATACATTCCACATAGGCATCTTATTGGTTGCTGAAAGACTGAAAGGAAAGCATTGAGGGAAACCATATATCAACATTAGTTGGGATGCCAATACATCCTTTCCAACTCATTTTACGTCATTTGCAGCAATTTTGAATGACAATGGGAAAAATTTGTTCCAATCGCAGTATGAGAGGGTGGGAGCACTGAGGAATGTATGTCCCAGCCGCAGTGAAAGGGTGTAAATTGATTATGTTATTACAAGTCCATGACCAAGAATAGAACATTTGTCAGAAAATTCAGATCTACTTATAGTTCCTAGAAGATAAATTCAGGGATGAGGAAGTCTGTTCAGAAACATTGTATGGCTACAGCCTGGAATAGAGAATTATTAGTGATGTTTTAATGGACTTTCCTGTTGTAGGAGCTACATAGCAAAGTATATCTCTAGTCTTGAAAGTTTATTCATGTCTAATATGATCAGCAGTTTGTTTTGAGCTGGAAAGGAACAATGTTGTATTCCATATAGTCAAAGTTAGTTTTTAAGTCTCTCTATGAAGCTTTGGTATTGATTCATATTTTTTAAATGTATGTAACAATGCAATTATTTTCTAAGTTCTGTTTCTGAGTTGGTTAGATGTACAATGTATATATATATAAAAGAAAATGGATTCTTGGGCACTCTCAGTTTTAGTTTTTACCCCTAATACTGTGTCATAATTGTTTTTTTTCTAGATTGGAAAAGAATTACAACCAGTGTTATATTTAAAAGAGTATTATAACATTCAAAAACTTTTTTACTCTTTCCTTTAAATGAACCTGACTTGCAACTTAGTGTCGTCATATTTGAATTTTTAAGTATGTTTGATAAAGCTTTCTTAATGTCTGATATGGTACATCACCTCCTCTCACATGATAGCTATTATCATTTTGTGCTGCCACAGGCCTTGATGCTCCCACCTGTCTGGAATTGACTAATTCCAATGCGTCTCACATGCAAATCATCATGTGACAACACTCCACCAATAAGAGTGCAGCATACTCTCTCTTGATGCATGTGACTCCCTCTGTTTAATTATACCGAACTACCACTTCAACACATAACATGTATTACATATGTTTCTTTCACTACCACATTTCTTACCATTAATTTTGTTAAATTTATACTTCTTACCCGTAATTTCGTTTGTGTGGGCCCCTGGAGGTTAGGGTCCACCTTACTTGCTCCCAATATTACTCATCTCCTTCTGATAACAGCTGAACCCATTTCAGATGACCCAGAATTTGTCAGTTTTCCTCCACCTTATCATGAACTGCATTCCAGACTGCCACTGAGAATCTGCTTGGCATATCTCAGTTTTTGTTTTGTTTTAGACACATTTCACAGTATATTCCATTTTTTCTGACATTGATCTTTTTTTGTCTCTTTTGAAAATGGGTACTTGCAAGCCTCATCTTATACAGTCTTTAATTCTTCTTGCCTAAGCTTACCATTAAACAGATTTTCTTCTTCATTTTATGTCCTTCAGATCTCTGCTAATCTTATCCATTTTCTCTACTGCTTAATTTCTCAGCTTCATATTACCCTATCTACTCTCCTACTGGTAATGTTTATCTTCCACTTCCTTTCTTAGGTGTTTCACTTATATTTAGGAATTTTTATGGGATACCTCATCCTTCTTCCCTCCATGTTAGGGGGTTTGCCATCTTCAGTTCTTTCTGTCCACATGTGGCTTCTTTCCTTTTGGGATCTTCTTGGGTGTGACACTGCTGTTTGTTTACCATCCACTGCTAATAGGGACTTACAGTCAGATCTTTTTTTCCACGATTCCAGTTTTTGGGGCTACACTTGTACATTTAGAGTCATGTGAGGTATCTGCCATGCTATATTCAGTTTTTGTTGTTGTTGTTTCTTTCTGAGATATTGTCATCTTTATTCTTTTACGTGTCCAGCAATTTCCCATCCTCTACCTGCCCTACCTATGGATTTTTTCCATTCATCTTGTATGCTCGATGCTGTTTGGGGTTCTGAATTGATTGGTCCCACCTCAATCACTTCTTCGGTCTTCTCCGTTTTCATATGTAGTCTTTGATCACATTTGGATTTATTATATCTGCATGTCGGGGTATGCCCACATTATACATTATCATTTTCCTTTTTTTTTGGACTCTATCTTAGGTTATTTCACCAGGTGATTTGGTCCCAGTTTTGTGCCTTGCCCTTTGGACTTGTTTTGGTACCATATGTCTTATTTGGGGTGGTCTGCATTTTACCCATCTTCTACATTTTAGGGAATTTTACCTACACCATTCATTGAATGTCTAGCTTCCGATCAGTGGTAGTCTTAACATACTCATATACTTCTTCCACAGTTAGCTCAGGTAGTTGGATTTTCCTGTTCCATACTTCACATTCTCATTGCTTTGGGGGGGGGCAGTTTAAACACCCCTCCATTGGGACCATCCATTTGATTTTCCTCTTAATTTTCCTCCTTATCTCTTCATCTATATGAGTTGATAGATGACCATACCCCCTACGACATCGAGTTTCCCACTTCCTCCCCCTCTTATTATTATTTCTCTTCTCCGGTGATAGGGGATGTGGTTTGATCATAGGAGACTTCAGGACTGTGGTCTCCAAGCAAAGAGTGTTATTTCTTTCACACCCTGGCACTTTTGCCAGTCCAGTGTGCTTTCATTCACTCTCTTCATTTTGTCTAATTTTGACTAATCATGTTTCATTTCGACTGTGGTGGCTTCTGTCACTCGCCAAGTGGACATTCATTCTTGTTCCTTTAGTGGTAGGTAGTGGATCTCTCTTTTTGAACCCACACACTCAACATACGTCTCCTGAAGGGTCATGTTCCAGGTATTTTTGTCCTCATTGCTGATTGGCTTTCTAGTCCTGTCACATTTTTTCCCAAGGAGTGACCTCTCAATCCTCCAAATTTTTGGTGTTTTTGCTTCCTGTGGGGTACTCCTCCATGTGAACTTTTTGATTTTTTTATTAATTCCTAGGTAATTACCTCTTGTTTTTGGTCTCTAGTTCATCATCCACTTGCCCTGGCTGTCGATGTGTTCAGACAGGGTTACATCCAGTTTATAATGTTAGTTTTTTTCCAAAATGTTTCATCATCAATGTCACTCTGGTACAGGTCTTTCTGATTGAGTTCCTGGCCAGCACAAATCTGGGTTTCTCTACTGTTGTGAGTCAATTGATACCTTTGTTCTGGATCGTTTTTATTAACTTACAATTTAGTGGTCCATGTGGTTTATTTCTTTCAACTTTTCTGTTTCTTACTATCTTCCACATTTCTTTTCGGTCAGTTCCAGATGACTTTGTTGGCCCAGTACATGCTTTTGGTTGCTTCATTGTTTTCAATATATTTTTTTCGTTTAATCCATTTCCCACAATTTCCTTCCCTTACTCCACTGCTTTGTCTGTGATATTTTGCCTTCCTCCCTAACCCATTGGGTTTGGATTGTGATTCACTTGGCCTTTTATTCCTTGTATCCTTCTTTCTGTCATCAATTGGTGTCTTTACTCCAATCATGCACCTTCCCTTTTCCATGCTTATCAAACATGTTGTCCATTAGAGGCACTTTCATCTGTTGAGCAATGGGACTACACCTCATACGTCTATCTCAATTCTCTAGTTTGGGTAGCTGTTTATTCGTTGTCAGGGTACCATCATTCACCTGTTGACATTCTTTACTCTTTCATGAGACTGTGACTGGATAAGTTACATATATATATATATATATATATATATATGAATATATATATCTTATTTTTCAGGGACATGTCCCTCTTGTTTTCTTTATGGATCCTGCTCTGTGGCTAGTGGTGCCTGTATAGGTATACTTAAACTAGTAAAAGCTGCACTGTAAGGCCATGATAACTTAACAATTATAATTCCATGGCCATTAAACACAGACTGCTGAGATGAGGTGTTCCACAAGATTGCTTTTAGGTTTATCCTCGCAATATATTTGCTTCATTAATATTCCTGTCCCGAACCATAGCTGCCCATCCCTGCCATAACTTGTACTGAATAAATTGGTATGGTCTGGTTTTCAAAATAGGGTTTTACGGTCACCCATTGCACTGTCTCAGGTATTGTCATTCCTCCTGACTCTCCACCATGCTTCCCCCCCTTTTCTTCTAGTGGAGTTTGAGAGTCCTTACCACTTTCCAGATCCTAGCTGCATGGATGTTGGACCATGGAAGCATCCTCCTGATTGTGTTAATGAAAAACAAATAATATATACTAAATATACATGAATGATGATAAAACCATTCAGTTGAGAGTAGAGTGGTAATG